TGATATGTTTTTTTGTAAAAATCTGAGTACAAATAAAAAAGTTACATTACTTTAAAAAAATATGATGTTTTATTTTTCTTCTTTGTTTTTTATAAACTTTTTATTCTTTGTTATGTACTTAATCAAATTGTTACATACTTGATTAGAAACCTGCCCATTATCATTCGTTAATGCTTAGTTAATACATTACCAATTTTAATTTTTGCATTAATTTTTCATTATGTCTTCATTTTAGGTGTGATTTTTCCCTCCAATTGTGATGCATAAATTGTTACTCCCTCGTCCCTTAAAACTTTGCCAAGTTTGACCGGCACGGGGATTAATAAAGTAAAAATTGTGTGGTAAAAGTTTGTGCAAAAGAGGAAGAATTGATTGTAGATACAAATTCTTTACTTAAAATGGAAAGTGGCAAAGTTAGTGAGACATCCAAAAAAGAAAAGTTGGCAAATTTTTAAGAGACGGAGGAAGTACTTTATATCATATTATATAAAGATTAAGAAAAATGAATTTGTGTTGTTTATATTGAAATGATAAAGTAACAACAAGACAACAACAAAAATATCTAAGTCTTAATCCCAAAAACAATTGAAGTTGACCAACATGAATCGATCCATGATACCAAAGTAAAAAACGAAAACCATGAAAAAAAAGTAAGATACTATATCAAAGATAAAAATAAAATAAGGACATAAGAAAAATAAAAAAATATTATAAAAGATGAACATAAGAACATAGATAATAAATAAAATAAAAGATAGAGAGAGAAAAACGTATTATGTCTTTTCTAAGTTAATGAACATCGAATGAAGACATAAAACCAAACTAATTTTTCATAATTTTTACATTTTTTAAAATCTTTGATCAACAACTCACTTTCAAATTTCATGATGTGGCTGATAAACTTAATTCTCGATAGTTGGCAAATTCTTGTACATAAACCATTATTTTGAAAATAAGGGAATAAGAATACATCTACGCTAACTCACCAACATTTTATTGTTTCTCCAAATCATATTGAATTGATAAAATAAAATAAAGTAACAATGATTAAGATTCACACAAACTTTAACAAATTTGATATGAGAAATGAGTTTTCTCGATAAAGAAAAATGAAGCAATTTTACCTGAACGGAGAGAATAATGGGTTTTTATTTTTTTTCTTTATAAACAACATTTTGGATGACTTTTGAAAGACTCAAATATCGTAAAAGTGAAGATGATGATGGTGAAAAAAGAAGTTTGAGTAGCAGGTAAAAGGGAAAAGAAATGCAAGATGAGACAAGGAATGAAAGAAGAAAAATGAAAAAAAGTGGATGATTCGTGTGATAGTGAGAATGAAGTATGGGTAAAAATTGGGGTAAAAAAAGTGGATGATTCGTGTAAAAATTGGAAGAATGTAAGTTGAACTATAATTTTCAATCTGATTGATAGAGAATCTGACTCTGTATATGATACTTGTAAAAGCTTTATGCATTTTTAACATAATAACTTCTCATCGCAATTGACAAAATTCAAATCTGAGACCTAACATACTCCCTTACTATCGGTTCACCTACGTGCACCGATATGACACACCTTATACACCATTTATAGGATGTATCCCAAAGTGCCAAGGTGTTTTTGAAAAGGTTTAGTGTGTCTTCAAGGTGAAGAACTCTAATTAAGCTTAATTGGGATAAATAGCACCCTCAAGAAGTTTATGGAACGAAGCTACCTTCAAATTCCTCTATATCATTAAAACTTTTCATGTTGGGTCAAAATGTAGATTGCAGACCAGATAATTACAGGAAACAATCGATCTCACATTTGACACTTCAAGAGACATTAAACCATGGCGGATGAGAAACCCATCCGTTCATATTCACGTCTCAGACCCTTTGTTTCCCAGGCATGTAACGGCGTCTACCCAAATGAACAGAGTAGGCACCTGACTAATGTCTGGTAATGATAAACAATATGGAAAATCAGTAGCATAAAAGCACCTGCTATTAAACCCGTTGAAGCAGGAGAAAAATAGCCTTGCTGCAATGCAAAGGGGGATTGAATCCAGTGAAAACTTAACAATTAGAACACGAAATCTATTTCCCAGATTAGAATTTGACAGACACGGAGGTCCAGATTGCTATATCAAAACCTATAAGACAAAGATTTAACGCTTCAATTACTCCTACAAACAGATCTTGCAAATATCATGCGTGCAGACAACTTAGAGAAGACAATGATCATATTAAACGAAATTGTGTATAAAAATCTTGACAAAGCTTTAGCAGTAGAGATCGGTATGAAACAGAGAATGCGGCGTATTTAGAAGATAGGGTCCGGAGGAGGTGAAGCGAAAAACCCCCTTACCAAATGAGCAGAACACATAGGCATAAAGAACATGAGGCTATATGAAGAACATGGGCGGCACAGTCTAGGGCTAGTTGCAGAACGGTTAATTGCATTTTAGTCCTCAATTTGTGGAAATGAAAAATTGAGCGATTTCTAAGACTGAAATTAGACAGGGTAGGATCATACGCGTACTTTGGGCCGGGTCTGAAAAATTAATTAAAAAATTAAAAACGAATCAATGTAAATCATTGTAGTTAAATTAAAACGAATCGCTCAAAAAACGAAACAGGATGTAAGAAAAGTAATTGCCCCATATAGGACCAAAACAAAGGTGAAATGCAAAAATAAGACTTGATATGTTTTCTTCCCTTAATAGGCCCAATTTACTCCTACCATTAAAAACATGAAAATTAGCATCCCAATTTTGCCCTTGAACCCATTTACACATTCTCTCCCCCCTTCCCCCCTTATAGATCGATCGATTATTTCTCTAGAGCCCAAAGTAACAGCATCCCATCTTCTTCGCATAGATCTGCCGCGTCGCTTACTCCACCGAATGGTGCTTCCATTGCCTTTGCCTTCATCGCCTCCACCGCCTCCGCTTCGCTGCTTTCTCCATCCACCATCATCAACTCTATTTTGCTTTGGATTTCAGGTTTCTTCTTCTTCTCCTTTTTCTTCCCCTTCTCCTCCTCCTTCTTCTTCTCCTCCTCCTCCTTCTCCTTGTCCTTCGTCTTCATCTTCCTTTTTCAAATTTCGATTCTTTTGTTTTTCAGGATTTTGACATGGATTTGTCCAATTTTTCAGACTTCTATTTTTCGTATTTCTAATTTCTTACGGAGTATTTCTTAGTATTTGAAATTTTTTGATTTTCTAGATTTTTGGATGATGACATACGATTTTGCCATGTTTATGGCAGAAATGTACACTGACAAAATCATATTATGGCAAAAAAGTTTATTAAACTGCCTTTCTGTTTTTTTTAAATAACTTCGTATTTGTAATTTTCAATTGTGTTAGCTTGCTTATTCAATTACAATTTGGAATTTTTCGAACATTTGATTAATCACTTTTATGTAACTTTTATATTGATAAAACTTCGTATCTGAGTAACTTTTATTTTTATGTAACACAAAGTTTTTATATTGATAAAACAAGAAATAATGGCATAGATATTATCTATACACTTTTAATGGACAGATATATGACCGGTTTTGAATTTTCCAAATATATGATTTACAAGAAACCCCTACCCTTGTATCTCCCTCTCAGCGACTACCCCACCTTACGACTGCATCTACCGGCCAGCAATCAATTGACGATGGAGGCATGGAGCAAAGGAGACGATCAACGTCGACTTCTCTCTCCGTCGATCTCTATGTGCCTTATCTCTTCGCACGACCATCTTTCGCATCGTTCTTGTTCTTCGACGACCTCTTCATCGACGATGGCAGCTAGGGTTCGGCGATGGCGTCTCAAGCCTTGGAGACGACAACCAATACTCATCTAACCTTTGTTCCTCTCCTTTCTACATCGTTTTGGTCTCTACATCCGCGATTGCTTCGATTGCGACGAAGATCTGAGAGGTTAGAGCTTCAAATCTGATGTCGGCGGACGACGCCGGTTGCAGGGCTGGGGTGGGGGTGGGGTTTTTGGGCTGCGATTGTGCAGGGTTGGGGATAGGGAGGGGTTGGTCAGTTTGGGAGGGGCTGGTGGGCATTCGAGGGGCTGGGAGGGGGCTGGTGGGCTGGGGAGGGGCTGGTGGTTAGGGAGGGGGTTGGATTGCTGGGAGGGGGTTGGTTCGCTAATGGGTTGGGGAGGGGCTAGTCGAATGGGGAGGGGTTGGGGAGGGGGCTGGTTGGCTGGGGAGGGGCTGGGAAGGGACTGGTGAGGGGGCTAGTTGGCAGGGGAGGGGTTGGGAGGGGCCTGGTTGACAGGGGAGGAGGTTGGAGAGGGTCCGGTGTGGTCATGGTTGTTGGGTGTGGTGGTGGGGCTGATCGGCCACAGTGTGGGCAGCGAGGTTGATCGGATGTGGTTTCGGTGGCGGGGGCAGATCGGCTACGTTGTCAGCGGCGGCGATTTCATTGAACGAAAACGGTCACAATGACATATTTTCTTACGATAGTGACATCCGTATGACCGTAAGTGACATGAAAATCTGACAGTGACGTACATAAGTGACATTAAAATCTGATAGTGACAATTCATAGTGACACGAAAAAATTGCAGTGATATAAAAAATTTCCAGTTACATCACGATTTTCCATATATATGACTCTATTAGTCACATTTTTGTCTATATTGAAAAGTAGTGACTTTTTTAGAAAATGACTTTGATTTAGTAATATTTAGGGGAAAATCCCATAAAACAAATAAATAATCATCTCATGAACTATACCTCATAGAACGTATATAAACCTTTTGTCAAACTAGTCACAAAAAATGTAGGATGGGGGATTCTACCCGCAGCCACCTATTTACTAAAAAATGTAGGATGGGGGACTCACCTACAAGATCAGGCATCTCACATGAGATTGCCACCCATTTGTGGCTAATCGAGCTTCATCCCACATGAGACTGCGACGCAAGAGAAAATCACTGCCTCAGAGTGCGAAGACATGGACAGATCTCAAAAGGCCTCCTATATATATGTAGTATACTTTAGGCACTAAAATATAGATTCACTTAGATTTTAATAGATATTTCAATGATGACGGGGTTCATAAATTCTCCATACGAGATATGAGTATTATAAAATTATCAAAATTGTCTGCAAGTCAAAAGCTAGCAATTCAAAGAAATTTTAGACTAATCATCAAGTAAGTTGATCCCGTATCTCTCTTCACTCCGTTCATCAATGACCTTCTTCTTTTCAGTGGTTGGAGCAACGACAACCGCACCACCACCAGCACAGCCACCTACGTTCATGATGAGGTCATTGATGCTCTTCTTCTCACAGAGCCACTTGAACATCGGCCAGCCTTCACGATCATAGTGATCTTCTCTGCTGTGACAGGGATCAGAGTAGAACAAGTGTGAGGGATTTCAAGATGTTACATCAATAGATCTGAGGGCAATTTAAGCTTTTTATAATTTAGAGGCAGTGGATAGCAATTTGAGGGTTGCCAATTATGGATGGACCTGGGCCGGACCGATTTCGGTTCGGGCCTGGGCCCGGTCGGGCTTTTTTTGGGAATTGGGTGAACAGGGACCGGCTCGGGTAGGCGCCGGTGCCGGACCGGGCCGGTTCTGGTTCAATTTTTTTTTTGATTTCTTATTTATTTCACCCCCATCCCCCCAAGGTCCAAACCCCTCAGAAATACCCAGCCCAACCCAACTAAACCCAGCCCAAACCCAAAAAAACAAAAAAAAAGGCACAAGCCGGGCCCGGCCTGGCCGGTTCACTAAATTGAAGGCCCGTACCCGACCCGCCCCAATCCCCGGGCCGGGCGTAGGCCCAGAACCGGTTACCCAAGACCAGGCCGGTCCGGGCCCGCACAGTAGCGGGCCGGGCCGGGCGGGTCAGGGCCGCTCCATCCCTATTGCCAATAGAATTTCCCATTCCTTTTATTGTTGTAATATTCTTTTAAAATATTATTATTCTGAATCGTATCAAACTCATACTAAGCAATACAAAAAAATACAACAACCCTTTAGTAGATTTGACAATGGAAAATCCAACTCAAATGAAATAAAACCAAATTCTGTTTTTTATTTTAGACCGAATCAAAATTTAAAAAAAAATCAAACTGGATTGGAAATCTATGATAAGATGGTAAAAGAAGAATGGACATGGAAACCCGACTACCCGAGTCATTATGCAAGTAAAAAACTCCTTTAATGTCCCACTTTTACATCTTTAATACTCATACATTTTCACCTTTCATTTCCAATATTTCATTTATATCCACTCTTTCCTACAAGGTTACTCTGCATTTCCATGAAACTCGTGTATCATCAAGTTAGTTAAAGTGTTTAAGTCCCGTTAAAATTGTCTCATCTTCCTTTTTTATTAGTCCTACTAAATTTGTCTCGAAATTTGAGGGTTGCCAGTAGAATTTCTCTTTCCTTTTGTTGTTGTAATATTCTTTTAAAATATTATTATTCTGAATCGTATCGAACTCACATTAAGCAATACAAAAAATACAATAACACTATAGGATATTTGACTATGGAAAATCCAACTCAAATGAAATAAAACCAAATTCAGTTTTTTATTTATTCATTAATCAGCCCCATTCATTTTAGACCGAATCAAATTTAAAAAAAAAAATCGAACTAGATTGGAAATCTATGATATCAATTACAAAAATTCAAAGGTGTCAGCCTAACCTTCACTTCATACTTAGAAGAATTAAAATCCAAATTTAAATGATTTTATTTTAAAATCGACACCTCAATATAAAGAATAAATAGTGATTAAATTTTAGATTAGATGGGAAAAGAAAAATGGACATGGAAACCCGAGTCATTATGCAAGTAAAAAACTCCTTTAATGTCCCACTTTTACATCTTTAATAATCATACATTTTCATTGTTCACCTTTCATTTGCAATATTTCATTTATATCTACTCTGTATCATCAAGTTAAAGTGTTTAAGTACCCTTAAAATTGTCTTATCTTCCTTTTTTATTAGTCCTACTAAATTTGCCTCGAAATTTGATACAATTTGTGTAATTTTTTACTTCGTATTTTATATCATTCTTACTTTATCAATTCTAGTAATAATATAAACTCAATATTGTATCACCTCCTCATGTAACGGAGGTAGTGTAAGGTTTACATTGACTTTGCATCCCTTCATATAACAATTTATGAAGAAAAATTTCTGAATGTTGTGCAAAATCAAAGTTTTTTTAAATGGGGTGTAAAGTCCGATATCACTCAAAAATGAGTTACAAAGTCAAAATTCCCCAAAAGAATAACCATTGTTTTTGGAACATTTGTGATGTACATGTACCTCTACTTCATAGTTCAAAATAGAGTCATAATTCCGTGAATTGAAACACCAAGCATTCAAGCAATAATAACAAATACGAAGTATGACACATTTAGAAGGCCTGTAAACGAAAACTGGAGAATGTGACTATATTATTGAGTTCAGGAAAAAGAATAAATAATACGAAGTAATTCAAAGTTTACTCTGAAAAAGAAGTCTGAGCATTTTTTTCTCATCAAAACTGAACCACCACCACCTCCATCCATTAAATCCATGCCCCTCACCCATACATAGCTTAACTCCACCTTAGTTCAATGTGTAGAACATAAACTAGCCTATACATATACAATTCCCTCAATTGTATATTCTCCTCAAAAGATTTTCATGATAAATGTATGATAAGATTATTTTTTCTTAGAAAAGAATAAACTATCCCGCGGCAACTAGAGAAGTACCTCCGCCTCCTTTAACTGAAAGCGCTTGCCCGTGGGTGGAAGTCCGATTAATCAAATGGTTGTCTAGGAACAAAACAATGACTGTGATATCGTCGTGAAAATGTCTCCTCACACCCCTGTCTATATCTTTCAAGTCCGAGTATCTCATTTCTCTCTTCTTTGCTGCTTCATGAAGTGCAGCTTTCACAAGCTTTCTGGCAACACCCTTCACAAGCAACAAAATGTTTTAAGGGAAATTTATTTATTTGTAACTAATACATTCACAAATTCTTAATACTATCGTATATGGTTAGCAAACTTAAACATGCATTTGTATGAGTAGTTGAGTAGTAATTATATTGAAGGGAGTAAAAGTAGCATCAAAACACTTATCATACTTGCAAAATAGCATAAGAAAAAACTATTTAGTCATATTTTAGGAATCATCACATCTTTTAGTCATACTTTAAGTAATTCTCTCAATATTTAAATTCTATTATTTCTCAACTACACAATCTTTATCTATGAAACCAAGAAATTAGAATTTAAGGGCGTGGTTGGTAGGAGGGGAGATTTGCATATCAAAATTGGTTTTTAAAAGGTTGGTTTTACTACAGAAAATTTGAAGGAAAATCAACTTAAATTAAAAAACTAAATCTAACATAGACACACGGGCATACATGTGGAGAGATTTCTTAGTCTTCATGTGATATATATATCCACATAATACAATCCAACGGTCCAGATTCGTTCTCATTTCTCTCCTGAGAGTCCGTTCTTACCGAAACCGCTCCCTATATATATATATATATATATATATATATATATATATATATATATAAACACACACACACACACATATATATATATATGAGGGTTCCGGTGAGAATGATGTCCCGGGAGATAAATAAAAATAAAATCCAACCGTTTATTATCATTAACGAACGATGAAGATTTAATATGAATGGATGATGGCACTCCAGTAATTAGGGGAAACTTTGAGGAAGAATTTTAAGCATCACACCAACGATATTAATGATATGGGCAATATAGTAAAATAATATTACCATGGAACCGTAGCATTAAACCTCCTTCCTTAAAAGTCTCATTGCTTTACTTTTTTCCCGCGGTTGAGGCTAATATTTTAGTTATATAATTTGAATCATTAAATGAAATACACATACCATGTTGAATTTTTGCTACTTTCAACTAAAAGCAAATAATTTTAATTTGTTTCGTGTTTACATTAAACCTTATTTCCAATATCAGTGATGTCATAAAACAACTCGAGTTCACTAAAGTTTATATTGTGCATTTCAGTAATTAAATAAATGCACTTCTATTCTGTTACGGACCAATTCTATGGCCGTACATATGAACGAAGGAAGCAGTGTGGGGCAGAGAAGATTAATGACCAACGTGGCTAAGACAAAAGAAATAAGAAGGCAGTTAGAGACTTAGAGTCATATTAATATTAGTATTTAATTAGTCCTACTTTAATTAGTATTCCTTTATCTTAGTTGTATTAGAATAGCAACTTAGTTTCCTATTTTGTTTTAGGAAACCCTTTATTTAGTTGTATTAGAATAGCAACTTAGTTTCCTATTTTGTTTTAGGAAACCCTTCATCTATTTAAGGGGATCCCAGCTACTTTAATAAACAGCTTTTTGGTTAATTAATCTTGAAATCTCTTGACTAGGTCGGGGATCGATAATTATCTATTAAGCCTCTAATTCAGTTCGTCTATTCCTCGTCAATTAAAATAGCTCCAGGAACATCATCGTTTACCTGTGGTCAATCCCGTTTACGTCCTTGGACAAGGTCTCTGACTCACGCACTTAACAACTTGGTATCAGCTTCTGGGACGATGGGGACCGACTCTACTGCTGCCGATTCCCTGAAAACCATGATCGAGAGTGTCGACCAACGACAACTGGCTGTTGAACAACAACTGGCAGATCTGCAGGCATCTATGGATGAACTGCTCGCTCTTCCGGCGGCCATGGAAGCCTTGTCCACCACCGTGCAGAGGTTAACAGGGGAACTGTCATCTGGTTACGATGGGAAGAGTGACCCTCTGTCATGGCTAAAACGTTGTGAAAGCTTCTTTGTTCAGCAACGTACCCCAGCTCAAGCTCGGGTTGGCCTGGCGACATTCCATATGATCGGCACAGCGCAACTTTGGGCTAATCAGTTGGATACGAGCGCTTCACCAGTCTCTTGGACAGAGTTCTACACCAGATGTACGAAACGTTTTGGCCGCCTAGTAGTGCCGATCCCGAAGGAGAACTTGCCAAACTACGTCAGACGAGCGACCTTGAGTTGTATATTGAAACTTTTCAACAAATATTAGCTCGCACGGTGGGGATCTCTGCCCGTATGCAGGTTAAGATATTACAGCCGGGCTCCGCGAGGTTGTCCGAATGGAGGTTGAGTACCAGGATCCATTAGACCTTGACTCAGCTATGATGCTGGCCCGCACTGTCGAACGCAAATATCACCTGCTAAACTATTCGCCTGAACTTTTAGTGCGCCCCCAATCCAACCTACGTTCAGCATCAGTACCTGCCACTGCGGAATCCAACCCGAACCGACGCCAAACAAATCCAAACTTCAAAAAGATATCTCGCGCAGAGACTGCTATCCGCAGGGGAAAAGGCCTTTGTTATCCTCGGGTCCGTGGCCATCAATGCAAAAGGCTATTCTTTATTGAAATTATGGATGAAGACCGGTCAGAAACTCAGTTTGAGCCAACTCTCTTCCTTCATGCTATGACTGGCCTCAGTTCCACTTCCACTATGCAATTGGCAGCAACTCTTCACGATATACCCATTACAATTCTGGTAGACTCGGGTAGTACTCATAATTTTGTACATCAAAGGCTGGTTCCAGAAAATACCCATTCAATTCATCCTGGATCCCGTCAACATGTTCAAGTGGCTAATGGGGACAGAGTACCTATCCTAGGCACATGTCCTCAACTTAACTTCGTGGTGGGAGGACGCACATTTATTGTGGACTTTTATGTGCTTCCATTGGCCGGGTTTGACATGATATTGGGCGTTCATTGGCTTCAACGCCTCGGCTCGATTGAATGGGATTTTTCACGTCTTTTCATGCGCTTCATCTGGCAGGGCATTCCAGTGGAATGGCACGGTCATACTCGAGTCCCAACACTTCAGGCCCACATGATCACAACCACATCCCCTAGCATGGAGAGTCTCCTGGCCCAATTTGAGGACCTCTTCAGGTTGCCTGCTGGACTGCCACCTCCACATGTTTGTGATCACAAGATCACTTTGCTTCCAGGAACTGGTCCAGTGGTTGTTCGTCCTTACCGTTACCCCTATTTCCAAAAGGACGAGATTGAGAGGCAGTGTACGGAAATGCTTCAGCTGGGTATCATCCGCCCCAGCCGCTCTCCTTTCTCATCACCCGTCCTTCTGGTTAAGAAAGCCGAGGGTACATGGCGATTTTGTGTCGACTACAGGGAACTCAATTCCAAAACTATTAAAGACAAGTTTCCGATTCCGGTCATCGACGAGTTACTGGACGAACTTCATGGATCCAAATTCTTTACAAAACTTGACTTGCGCTCGGGCTACCATCAGATTCGCATGGCAGAAGAGGATATTGACAAGACGGTTTTCCGAACTCATCACGGCCACATTGAATTCTTAGTCATGCCATTTGGACTCACCAATGCACCATCAACGTTTCAAAGCTTAATGAACGACATCTTTGCACCATACCTTCGCAAATTTGTCCTCGTTTTCTTTGATGACATACTAATTTATAGTAAGTCATGGGTAGAACACGTTTATCATGTCCAGGTGGTACTGGAGACCTTTCACACTCATGGTCTGTCCTTAAAAAAATCCAAATGCAGTTTTGGCGCACCGCAAGTCCAATATCTCGGGCATGTCATCCATAGCAAAGGCGTTGAGGCGGATCCAGCAAAAATCCAGACTATCACGAACTGGCCAACACCCCAATCAGTTACAGCTTTACGCAGTTTTTTGGGCCTGGCAGGTTATTAACGCAAATTTATTCACCATTATGGTGACATTGCCGGACCACTCACACAATTGCTGAAGAAGAGTGCCTTTTCCTGGACAGATGCAGCCGAACAAGCGTTCAACGAGTTGAAATTGCGCCTTTCGTCGGCCCCAGTTCTCCAATTACCTAATTTTGACAAAGAATTTGTCGTAGAACGTGATGCATTGGGATCTGGTTTTGGGGCAGTATGTCCATAAGAAAGCCATCCCATCGCATATTTTAGTCGCACGATTGCTGCCCGCCATGTTAAGCTCGCAGCTTATGAAAGAGAGCTGATCGGGTTAGCCAAGGCAGTCACACATTGGCGACCCTATTTATGGGGATCTGAATTTCTTATTCGAACTGATCAATCGAGTTTGAAACATTTACTGGATCAACGACTTACTACGTCCCCGCAACAACATTGGTTAAGTAAGTTAATGGGCTTTAATTTCCGAGTAGAATACAAACCGGGACGCTTCAACACTGTAACGGATGCTTTGTCTCGACAACATGAAGAGGTTATACAGATGGTAGCACTCACAGTTCCTTTCAATACTCTCCTCAGTGAAATCCGGTCTGAACAGGCTGTTTCCCCGATTATGAATGCTATCCGTCAGGAAATCCAGGAGGGAAAACGCGGGCCAGATTGGGCACTCCGAGACGGCTTAATTTATTTCCGTTTCAAACTCTATCTATTAGATACATTTGAAGTAGTTTAGACGTTGCTCTCGGTATTTCATAACATGGCTCATGAAGGTGTTGAAAAAACTCTTCAGCGGCTACGACGGGAGTTTTATTGGACTGGCATGAAGACCACGGTGACCAACTCTTCAGCAGACATGTCAAAAGCAAAAATGGTTAACATTACAACCGGCCGGCTTATTGCAACCTCTGCCCATTCCGCATCACATTTGGGCAGATATTTCCATGGATTTCATTGATAGCTTACCCAAGGTCCGAAGTAAATCTGTCATTCTGGTTGTTGTTGAAAGACTCTCTAAAGCCGCTCATTTTATTCCTTTAGCTCACCCATATACGGCAGTTTCCATGGCTAGTATATTCTTTTCTGAAATTTTCCGTCTTCATGGGCTACCGGAATCTATTGTCTCTGATCGTGACAAAATCTTTATGAGCACTTTTTGGCGAGAGTTATTTCGGCTATCTGGTACCAAACTTGTTTATTCTTCCGCCTATCACCCGCAAACAGATGGTCAAACAGAGGTGGTTAACCGCACGGTAGGGTTATTTTTGCGTTGTACCACGAGTGATTATCCCAAAGAATGGGTTCGTTGGCTACCTTGGGTGGAGTATTGTTACAATACGTCCTACCATTCGTCTCTGGGGAACACACCATTTCGCATGGTTTATGGCAGGGAACCACTACGGATACCCTCCTATATCCCTGGGACAGCCAAAGTGGAAGGAGTTGATCGGGAGTTAATTGATCGGGACGATCTTCTCAAACGTGCTCGTGACAGATTGGCTCAAGCACAACAACGAATGAAAAGTCAGTTTGATAAAGGCCACCGCGACCTCTCTTTTGAACCCGGGGCTTGGGTTTGGCTCCGTTTACAGCCATATCGTCAACTCACAATAGGCCGAGGCAATTTCAAACTGTTGCAAAAATATTTTGGTCCATTTCAGATCCTGGAACGCATTGGCCAGACTGCTTACAAGCTCCAATTGCCCGCAGACGCTCGAATACACAATGTTTTTCATGTATCCCTTCTCAAGCCACATCAAGGACCTTCTCCCGCGTCAATGGGCAGTCTTCCTCCAGCACCTCGCATTCTGGGAGCCACAATTCCCCAGGCAGTTCTTCGCAGCAGGTTTTTAAATGGCACCTGGGAGCTTTTAGTTCAATGGCAGGGGCAGCAAGTAGATGAGGCTACATGTGAACCACTTGATTCCTTCCAACAGAGATACCCTGCTTTCAAGCTTGAGGACAAGCTCTTAGTCCAGGGGGAGTGATGTTACGGACCAATTCTATGGCCATACATATGAACGAAGGAAGCAGTGTGGGGCAGAGAAGATTAATGACCAACGTGGCTAAGAGAAAAGAAGAGAAAAGAAATAAGAAGGCAGTTAGAGTCATATTAATATTAGTATTTAATTAGTCCTACTTTAATTAGTATTCCTTTATCTTAGTTGTATTAGAATAGCAACTTAGTTTCCTATTTTGTTTTAGGAAACCCTTTATCTATTTAAGGGGATCCCAGCTACTTTAATAAACAGCTTTTTGGTTAATTAATCTTGAAATCTCTTGACTAGGTCGGGGATCGATAATTATCTATTAAGCCTCTAATTCAGTTCGTCTATTCCTCGTCAATTAAAATAGCTCCAGGAACATCATCGTTTACCTGTGGTCAATCCCGTTCACGTCCTTGGACAAGGTCTCTGACTCACGCACTTAACATATTCAAAATATCTATCATGTTACATATATATACTACATATAATATAATGAGAGTGATTAGAACAACAATGGTGCACATTTCTTTGAATCGTAATGCACTATAATATAGTTTTCTAAAAATTGTCATTGCCATTGTGTAAGGCAATTTACTAGAATTATGCATCACAATACAAAATTAGTGCATTAAGTTATACTACATATTAACGAGTGCATGTATAATGTTTGATATGCAACATATTTCATATCAAAGTGCAATTATTTAGCCTTAATGTGTGTATTGCTAGACTACACGTGTACAATGCGATATATTTTATTTAAAAGTGCAATGATTTGATATTGGTATACTTAACTGACAAAAAATAATAACACTGGGAGCATGGATTAGAAAATAATCGTGCTCACAAAGTGAAATGAAAAAAAATTAAATGTGCATTTGAAGCATAGAAAAAACTGTGCTTTGAATAAAAACAAATTGATACTTTGAATAGGAAAAAAAAATAGTGCTCTGAGAGTGTGATAAAAAAATTCAAAAGTGGGTATCTAATATTTCGAGAGAATTAATAAAATAATCTTGTAGTGGTTCTCATATATGAATAATAGTGAAATAGGTTGAAATAGCACTTTAAACATGAACAGATGACAAAATATATATTAAATTAAAACACATTCTAATGATGTGACAAAGATAACTAAATAAAAGTGAAGTAATTAATGAAGCCAAGAATTCAGGGTAAGAGATCCGTATACGAATTTGTAGAATGGAAAATCACAAAAATAACCCCAATGGCTTGGCATGATCTAAGGGTGTGGATTTATTCTTATTTCTCTCCCTAGATAATATTCTCATTTGAACCTAAACATATATATATATAGAGAGAGAGAGAATATACGAAGTGAAGTATATCATAACTTGATTTATTGAGTTTAAACACATCATTTTTCTGACATTTTCTTTCCTTCCAAATTTCAAATATATTTATTCCCTGATTTTTAATTGCATGTTCCGAGCTCTAAACTTCCAAAAACACTATATACTCCCTCCACCCCAAAAACATATTTGTTTCAGTTTATGATGTTTGATTGATAATTAAATTAACTCTTCATTGACAATACTGAAATTAGTATTCATTAAAATTAGGTTCCCTAACAAGTTACAAATACCTTATTTATAAATTACACTAAAAATTCAATTGAACCGCAAAAATTGATTTGGAATATGATAATAGTGTGACACACCTTATACATATGGTAAAAACGAGTAAAGATAACTGCCGGAATAGTAAAAAAGAACTTAAACTTTTGAGACAAAGGTATGATAAATATATGAGGGTTCTCACGAGAACACACCTTATGATAAGCATAAGAGTGTGAGGACTTTCAAAATTATTTATTGATAATTACATAAATATCACATTATGACTATTAGCAACTGATTAGAAAAATATAATTTGGAAATCAGAACTCAGAAGTTCTTATATAGCTATATGTGTGTGTGTGTGTCAGTTGTGTAAGTGTGTGACTGTATATAGAAAGGGTTATGGGAAAGTTCAAGAAATAAGATATTTGTTTCAAATCCACCATAAATTAATACGTACTATTTAAAATGAAGGTGAGACAATTAGTGATATAGTTGAGATAATAATGCCATTTCATTAACTTTCTCTAACCATCTCCCCAGGACCCCACCCACACCATTGTCCATATATAGAGAAAGAAGAGTCAAACATACATTGCGCGGAGAAGAGTTGACAATTTCAACTGCCTCTTGGTTGGTAAGATGCTCCCATAAGCCGTCTGATGCAAATATAAGAAACTGATCTTCAGGGAGGAGTTTATGGACATGTATGGACGGCTCGGCCTTAAGGATTGGGGTATGGAAGGGTTCAGTTACCCTAAACTTTGGCAACAATGGCTCCCTGTTGAACTCCCATCTTTTGAAATATGCATCACCTATTGATCTTGATATCTGCAAACCAGAATTCCTTGTTGATTTCATGGAAATAGCAACACACTATACACACTTTACACTTATATGGTGTGAATTAGCACTTCAACCGTTCTTTTGTGACTTTTGCTTAAGAGACATTTATTGCTCATTTTTCACCGCTACCCTTCTCCCCCCATAAATGAAAAGTAATGCAATAAAACGTTAATACGGTATATCCGAGTCATATTACAGTAATTTTAATTTTATAAAAACTTTTACTTAAAAATGAGCGCAAAGCCGCAAACACCTAAAACAAGAGTAAAATAAGAATGTAGAGAATATGAATGATGGAGATGCTGTCATGCTGATGGGATAATAGTGACCTAGGTATAATAAACACAGAACCTAACAAATAACAATAAAAAAGGGAAATAACAGCTGTTATAATTAATTAAAACTAAAAGTGAAAAAATAAGATCATGAATCTAGCATCAATCTAAAAATGGCACGTGGATTTTAAATTGAGAAAATAATACACCATCTGTTTTATTTAGTTAGTCCATATTCCATCAAAGGAAGTTTATTAATACTTGCTGCACTTCCATTTTTTGGCAACAGTCATCATATAAAAATACACAAATATATTTACTTTTTCCTTTCATCTTTTCTACCTTTTTTACCTTTTAAACTATTCTCTCTCACTATTCACTACTCCTATAACTTCACTCTTAGATTCTGTGAAAAGCCTATGGACTCGACTAAAAAAAGGAGGGGGTGTGTAGTATAAGGTTACGCTATCATGCTCCTTGATGGCTTTAGTACTAATAAAAACGGGAAGATGTTCCAAATAAGTCACCTGTATAAGCCCCTTGACGCGCCAAACCTTGTGCTTTAGAACAACTATCTGTGGATCATCAGGATGCAACAACTTTAGTTCATCTCTAACAGATTCCAGATTCGCATTGTGTTCATATGACAACTGAATGGCTTTAACATCTTTCGTATGTCTCTCAACTTTTCCTAATACTGCGCGGGAATCTCCAGCATTTGCAATGTACAACATGCCATTGCATACTATGCCAACCAAACAGCATGACCCCACTGAAGCGATTTGAGGTTTCATTAGCCATTGCTTTCTCACTAAGGAAAGAAACTCCTCTTCTGTTTCTAAATATGATTTGCTTATAACCTCGGCTGACATTTCATGATTTTGTGTGGTGAATTCTGCATCATAATTACCCTATCAAGTAAGTCACAGCCAAAAAAGCCTATTGGCAGTGACGAAATAGCATTTCAAAAATTCAAGGCTATGTTTGGACTAGAAAAACAGCTGTGAGAGGAGAGAAATGCTTTTTATGTTTGATTAGGAGATGCCTATTTTTTTTAGTTTTTAGTCTTTATTTGATAACATTAATAAATAAAATTACTTTGAACAAATATCTGAACTAGAATTATCGAGTTAGAGACTTCGAACCAATTTTCTTTTACTTCCCCTGCCCCTCTACGTTTTATTTCCTTCCAAATGTCCCCTCTATTCACCTCCCTGATTACTTTACCAGCATTAAAGGTCTTTCAGGACGATTTTACATATAGGTGATGAGTACTTAGAAACAAAAACAAAACTATGTAGTAATACTTCTATTTTGAAAAACATTTTCCCCAAATAAAAAGCACTCATTTAAAAATCATAAATGTGCAATTTGCAATTTAACTTGACTTCATGTGCAATTTACTTTAACACATAATAGTTAGATCGGACACCATAAATATTTGCAATTAAAAGTTCAAACCATATCCTCCTTTTGTTCCTTCAGATTAATAGACAGTCCTCTTTGTATGCAACAACTTGAAAATGGTTTGGCATACAAGGAAATTGAGATTAGACACAAGGACATAGTGTAAAGGAAAACATACTCTTGATGTTGTTGAAAAGGTGATCACATATGAAGCGGGCAGCATCAGGACCGGCATGGCCATCATAAACTCCCACAAATGTCCCTTGTGGGCCCGTTTCAACCGAGCTCATCGGCCCAGACTCCAGCTGGCTCTGATCTTCCAGTACAGTGTTTGCTTGAATTACAGCCATAGAGAATTGCCCATTGACATGATTCCCTAAATCCTTATACCACAATAGCCCATCAACCCGGCCATTCGGGTCCCCCCCTCTATTGCTCCAGTCTTGGCCTTCGTCCTCAATTGAAGGCCTCCAGCAAGGGTATACAATCTTTCTGAATGCAGTAGTCACCATTTCCTTACATATTATGCTTCCGATCACTTCAAGCTACAAAACTACTCAGCAAATCTCTCTTCTCCTGGAAACCCACACCCAACTTTACACCTATTACGCCCTTAATAACCAAACCCGCAAATAAAGTTTCAGACTTGTATTCATAGATGCATCAAACATTAATTAATCTCTAAAGGAAATTAAACAAATGGGCATTTTCGAAACTGCATTATACGGAGTATTATATTTAACAGAAACAATACAACACAACAATCATATCTCAGAGGCACGCAACAAAAATATGATCTTGAGAGGAAAAATAAATTATAGAAAATCAAGAGGGGCCAAGATCACTGCCTTGAATCAGAGGTGCTCACTCAGGTAATGACTGGTAATTCCTCTTTTTTATTTTGAGAATGACGCGATCTGTTTTTATACAGAGGTAGGGGCGGTTAGAGAGAAGAATTGTGAGAAGGGTGAAATGAGGGAATGGTGGAGGAGTTGGTTTGTTTTGGTGTAAATGACAGAGAGACGGCAAGGAAATGGCTGAAAACAGCGTAAATATAGTGGTCCTAAGGAGCTTTGAATGTGCTCTTCCTTTTCTAGGCAATTTCGGTCTTCGGTCTAATTTAAATTTTAAAATTTAAAAATAAAATGCTCACTCCCCATTTAGGCATTTATGGGACTTGGCTTACCCCGGTAGAAACTAGAAAGAGAGGTGTTACCCGGTAGGAAAAGAGGTGTTACCCGGTAGGAAAAGAGGTGCACAAAGGATAGGTTTCGAGTTTAATCTCAAGCTTGGGATGAAACTCCAATATTCAATTAGAGCGTGATTAAAGCTCAATTTACATATTTTCATATAATTCTTCGGTTTATTTTGGATGTCTTTTTTATGTAAGCTCATTTTATCATTATAATATATGGAGTATATATATAAGAAATGATTTGGTTAGTCCAAATTACCAGGAATTGACGTCTGACCAAGCCCGTTTGAGGGATTTCCTGCTTGAATTTTAAGCTAAAATTTTGTGTGAATGTCCACACTTCATGAATAATGTGTTCACACAATTTCTTCAAAAAAATCAACTAGGAAGGCCGTCAAACGGCTTGTTCGAAAGGTGGTTCTGGTCAAGCGCGCTTGACCAGATCTTTAGTCTATATATACATACTCTGTATAATACAAAAGTTCCTGTCCGGCAAGGCCGGAGGAACTCCCTGTCCGGCCACCTCAATTTGAGGTGGTTTCGGGGGTATTTTTGGCTGAAATTTTTTGTGTATGTTCCTCATCAAGTCTAGTTCATCCATACCAAATTTGAAAAAAAAACAATCGGTAAGGTCGTCAAATGATTTTTCATTTTTGCATGAAAGCTGTGTTTTATATGTATATTCCGCACCAGTTTTCATGCAAAAATCATTTGACAATTTTCCCGATTGAATTTTTTGCTAAAATTTGGTATGGATGAACTAGACTTGATGAAGAATATACAAAAACAATTTCAGCCAAAAATACCCCGGAACCACCTCAAATGGAGGTAGCCAGAGAAACCTCCTGTCCGGACGGAGGCGTTTCAACGTCTTCCCGGTTGACTTTTTTGATGAAATTTTTATGGCATGTTCTTCATTAAGTCTGGTTTATCCACACACAATTTCAGCTAAAAATTCAATCGGCAAGGTTATCAAATAATTTTTGAAAGTTAACTGCATTTTATATGTATATTCCAGCGCAGTTATCTTTAAAAAAATCACTTGACGGCCTTCCCGATTGAGCTTTAAGCTGAAATTTTGTTTGAATAAACTAGACTTGATGAGTAACTTGGCATAAAATTTTTATCAAAATATTTCACCGGGAAGGGATCTAAATGCTTCCGTCCGGACGGCGGTTCCGGTTAGGAATTGCTGACCGGAAGAGTACTCTCTCTCTATATATATGTGTGTGTGTGTGTGTGCGCGCGCGTGTGTGTATGTATATATATGTGTGTGTGTGTATATATGTGCATATATAGTTCTCTATTTCTTTTTACAATTATGGTTATGATACGAATAGGTCATTAATGGACGTATATATTGAAGAGAAAGAGATTAGAAAAAAGGGTTCCTTTTGTCAAACAATATTGCTTAAACTTTTTAAAATTCTTAATTGTCATTATTCAAAAGAAATTGAAATTAGGTGTTTCAATTAAAATATGAACATTGTTATAAAAAAATGAACATTGTTATTGATCTATGTCACAATTTTAAATTAACCAATTGTGGTTATGATATGAATAGGTCATTAATGACGTATATATTCGAGAGAGGTTGGAAAAAACGGGGTTCCTTTTGTCAAACAATATTGTTCAAAACTTTTTAAAATTCCTAATTATCATTATTCAAAATAAATTGAAATTAGGTGCTTCAATTAAAATGTGAACAATGTGATTCGCATAGTGCTTAACATGATAAAGTGCCTTTCAAAAAAAACATGATAAAGGGTAACACTAAAATTAAGTCATTTATTAGCTCACCAAATGAGCAAACTCTTGCCTCAAATTGTATTACTATTTTGTTGGAAAAAATAATTGAAGACTATTACAACAATTCAAATTTAGGGTCAAATTGTAAGGAATAAATGTAATTCAATTTTGATGATGCTAGGCTAATTAGAATTAGAAAGTACCCCTATAGAAATTTTATATTAGAATTTTTCTTTGTATGTATTAGCATAGTCGACATGCCAGAAACCCTCTTGGTCTCTACCAGAGTTGCTCCCAGAGTTGCTCTCCAGAGAAGCTACCAGAGTTGGGTACCAAAGCAGGTACCAGAGTTGGCATCAGAGGCGGACTTCAGAGTTACAACCAGAGAGCCTCATCAGACTTGCTCTTACTTAGCAGAATTCGAAGGCACTTTCCAATAGCCGTGAAACTAACGGAAAATTCTCTAACGGCTAGGACCCATTCGACAGAAACATAGTATTGTACACGCATTAAATGCTTAATTAATTCTGTACGTACGAAGATATATTTAAAGTTGATGATTGACCATGCGGATATCTTTACGCCCCCAAAATAGCAAGTCGAAGGTCCAACCGGTCAAATCAACAGTACGAGCATTTAATGAAGTTGTCTTCTACACTCCAACAGGAAGACTGCTCCCAGTATATAAGATACACTTCAAAGAACTACTAGGATAACTTTAGCTCTATAACTTTGCATAAACTACACCTTCTACATTAAAAAGCTTTCTTGAGATTTCAAAGTCATTCACTTCAACAAGAAAAGCTTACGTTGGAAAGATATCAACCTCTTATCCTCTCATCCAACAAAGAGCAAAGTTCCTCCAGTTCTTCAACACTTCAAAAGCCTCATCTACACATTCTTTGTGAAGAAGCAATGTTGGAGAAAACTGATCTTGAATCAAACGCTTCTTGAAAAAGAAGGGACGTCTCAAACTAACTAGAGTAAGTGAAGTGGGGATACTTCCAAGAGACTCAGTGAAACGAGACCAACCATCAGGAAGCAGGACTGCACCCCGGGTGGCAACTAGGCTTGAAGAAGACGAGGAGTGCTTCTTAAGTTCTAGGGACTAAGGCTTTGTAAACTGTTGTTTTTGCAAGCTTAGTGGAACAGTGGATGATAGATTATATCTAGAGAGAGGTGAGAGCTAGAGAGAGAAGTGCAATAATATGCTTCAATAGAATGATTTCGTAACCCCTATAACTACTCCCAAGGGGAGTATTTATAGAGAAAATTAGGGTTGGGCTCCCAAGCCTTGGGCTTGGGAGGCCCATTTACAACTGGACCGCTACTGGGCCGAATACAAAGCCTCTAATGGGCTGTACAAATGAGTAAGTATAGAATCCGATTCTGGGAGGTCTTCGTGGACGACGAGGGCGTGGCCGACGAGGGCGCGGCCGACGAGGGCACCCGAGTCCCTTAAACTCAGGACCGTAATCTGAGTTGGCCCCTTTTCGGCCGACGGGGGCGTCTTGGCCGACGAGGGCGCCACTCTGTTGTCTTGTGCTCTGTTCTTCCGAGTATGTGGGTCCTGGGGCTCAGACCCATATACTCCATCAGGAGTCCCCCACTCTCTATGCTGAGACGTAGACGAAGTGAAGGAGAGTAGATTTCTGTGCTTTGTTGCTTTTGGCCGACGCGGGCATTTCCAGGCCGTTAGCCGTTGCGGTATTGGCGCTGTTTCCATTTTGGTGATCCTGTTATGTGCTTTGGCCGTTACCTGCTCCTCGCTGTGGGCGGGGAGGCCGTTGTTTCCTTGACGCGTTCGTTTGAGGACGATGAGTGTCCTTGCCTCTAGTGGCTTGTTGGCCGTCGCTAATGACGTTTTGGGCCTTTGGCCGATGAGGTTCCGTTGTGCTGTGTGGATGATGTGGCCATGTTTTGTGGTTACCTTGTTTATACTCTTTGTTTCGTTGAGGCCGGTGTAGTCCCCCAGTCCCCCACTACTTCAGGCCGAGGAGTGCGAGGGGTGAAGGAGTTGCTTGAGTCCCTGGCCGAAGCGGCATCTCCGTAGTCCCCCTGAATCCAACTCTCATGGCGATTTTCTGGCCAAGGTAACCCTGTGGGAGAACCCTTGTGCGCAGATCGCTTGTAGAGAGTTATCATCAAGGGTTATTACGAGGAGCCGAAGGCTGTGGGCTATTTGTCCCCTTTGTTCTGTGGCCGTTACGTTCCTGGCCGTTGCCATCTTCTTATTGTTTGGCATTTGTGATCTTGGCGAGCAAGTGGGACGTTGTGGGCGCTTGCTAGTAGTTGTAAAGCCGCTGAGCGTGTGTAGGCCGTAGAGTCTGATTTGCCGGTGGGCCGTTGATATGGGTTGGTCCTGGCCCGTTGGTGACGTGGTGGCCTCCCAGTGGTGGCCGTTGATGTGGCCATTGGGAGAGTGCCACGTGTAGTGACCGTTGGTGGGGGGGTCTATAAATACCCCTCCCCCCCCCCCCCCCCCCCCCGACGAGGAATCACATTTGCATTCTGAATTTGTCGAAGTGCTGGCCGATTTTCTAGAGAGATAAAACTCCCAAGCCTCTTCTTCGTGTTCTTCGTTGTTCGAGGTTAGTGTTCATCACGATCTTCCTCGCTTTTCATACTTTGCTTCCTAGGTAGTTGATCTAGTGTTAGGCGTTTAAACACCTTTAGATCTTAAGTTGTTCTCCTTAAGCCCGTAGTAGTAGTAATGAAGAGCTTGAACGAGGACTACTACCCCTACGACGACCAGCCCTCCACGAGGTCGCTTGACTACGAGGTGCTCGAGGAGTTTGAAGAGGAGATAGAGCGTTTGAGCCCCTACAAATCCGGAGAGCTGATGGATGAGGAAGGCGAGGACGAGGAGTCCGCCTCCTCTTCAGAGGGTGAGGACGTAGGCGCGTCCCGAGCGGTGGACGGGGCGTCCACTTCTGCTGTCGTTCCGTGCCCGAGGCCGGTGTCTGCCGTGAAGGGAGCAGCTAAGCCGAAGAGGGTGAGGAGGCCGAAGAATGGGCCGGCCCTCTCCTACCTGGACCTCACCAACATATTCCTGATCAAGCCGGAGAGCAGTGCGGCCGACTATCTTGTCGCCCAGATGTACGTGGGGCCGTTCGGGCGGGTTAGGGCACTCAGGCCGACGGACCATGTTCTACTTCCGCCACTGGG